TTTATTGGGGTGTCTCTGGGAAAAGCAAGGTGAGGGTAGATCCTGTAGGACTGGCTACTTTCAATAATTCCTGTGGGTTTCCGGGCACCGCGGCTGCCCCTGGGTGGTCTGTTACCTGGCCCTGTGTTGACTTAGGGCGGCGGACATCAGACTTGGTACAAGAGATTATTGAGAGTATGGATTCAGGGTTGTGTTCTGTGTACGAAGGGCTGATTTACCGATAGCTTCTTTACTGTCTCTAAGAATTAATGAGCTCTATGACCAGTCAGAAAGGTCCTTTAGAGATGTCAAATCACTATAAATATAGACCATTTTAAAAAATGTGATTTATGCAGACCCAATACCCAAATCACCTACTCTGTAACCACCACCTCAGTTAGATGTGGCCCAAGATCACACCTTGTTTTGTATTAAACCCTAAATGCTTAGTATAGTTCTTACCACGCGCTTGAATAATTATCGACAAAAGCGATATTAACTATAGTAACAGTCACTAATGCTTATTAAATGATTGCTGTGTGCCAGGCACGATGCCAAGGACTTTATTTCATTTAATTCTTCCAACAACTTATTAGCTAGATGAGCTTCCTGTTGCTACTGTAACCAGTTGCCACAAACTTACTGGCTTCAACAACACACATTTGTTACAGCGTAGTTCTACATGTCAGCTCTGAGGCACATCCACTGGTAAAATCAGGGTGTCGGGGGCTGCATGCCTCTGTGGAAGCTCTGGGGAGAATTCGTTCCCCCCACCTGTCCCAGTCCCAGCTTCGGGGGTTGCTTACATTTCTTGCCTTGTGTCCCTTTTTCATCTTCGAAGCCAACAATGACAGGCTGGGTCATAATAGTAGGGTGATGCTGCATTTCCCTGGTCTTTCTTTTAGCTCCTTCTTCCACTTTTTTATTATAATTTTATTTATTATTATTATTTTATTTGCTATAGGGAATGTGCACTTGTAAGTGAGAGAAACACACACACACGAGAGAGAGAAAGAGAGAGCAAAAGCAAGCCATCCTGACCAGGACTTGAACTGCGATTGGCCATGTGGGAGTCCAGCACCTTAACTACCATGCCACCTGCCAGCCCCCTGCTTCTACTTTTAAGGGCCTTTGTGATTCTGATGGACCCAGCAGAATAATCCTGGATAACCTTCTCATCTTTAAAATACACACACACACACACACACACACACACACACACTTATGTATTCAATCACTATATATCATCACCGCATAGAAAATGAATTTTCCCAGCATGAATACACTCATATTAGTTCAGTTAAAGATATTATCATACATATTATCAACATATTATTTTCCATTTTCGTGTCCCTTAAATATTGTGGGAGGGGAAGAGTGCAGGAAAGGAAATTTGGGGAAAAAAATGGAGAGTAAGATATTTGTGGGACACAGATACAGTTAATTATCTGTTGGTGAAGATGTGTATAGTATTCTCAACTGGACTGAGATGTGTTAATTAAAAATGTTTTCCTTCTTATCTTACCCTCAGCAGATTAGCAGAATTAATTCCACCTACAACCTTAATTCCCCTTGCCCATAGAAAATAACATACTCACAACTTCCAGGATGAGGAGGCGGACATCTTTGGGGAGGGATCACTATCGTGCCTACAGGATACCCCAAATGAATATTGTAACTATCGTCTTCATTGTAGAAGAGGACACTACGCGTGAGAGGTTTTATACCTTGTCGAGCCTCCGCAGCCAGGGTGTGGAGAGGCCAGCATGTCAGCACAGGTCTTCCCATCCCAGAACTACGCTGTGGCTCCAGGCTGTGTAGCCTGGTCTCTCTGTCTCTCTGCATTGTGGAAGGATTAGGTCTGGGATCTGCTTTACATTTGGCAGGTTCAGAACTATCTTGTCAATTTGCTTAAGGGTGGCTTGATTTTTTTTTTTTTCGAGATTTTTGTTACAGGGAGCATGCGCTGACCAGAAAGAGCGAGACAGAGAGACAGAAAGCGAGAAATCACTCCCCAGGGGGGATGGCCATGCTGCAATCCCTTCTCCTCCATTCTCCTCTTGGGATCTTGGGCATGTATGCACACGTGCTCAGCATGAGTTTAAGCCACCACGTCGGAGACCTAAACTGCAGTCAACTACATGGGAGTCCAGTGTCATTACACCTACTGCTGGTCCCAAGGGTGGCTAGATTTAAAGGCTGATTGATTGTAAATTAACTTGGAGAATAAATCAATATGGCAATTCCTTCACTTAAAAGTAAAGAAAGTGGGGCATAATTTGTACTATTGGTCTTTTACAAATTTAGAACCACTCCCTCCTTACTTCCAGACTCACTTAGAAAACTGAATGGTAGAACAAAGTTTTCTTGGGGAACAAAAGAGTAGATAATCTTAAAGCATATTTTTCTTTAATTTTTGCATTAACAGTATTTCTGTCTAACTACTGCATATTCCTCATTAGAATAAGAGCGTCTTCCCATAGTTCTCAGGTGACACATCCCATTGATGCATTCTTAACCTTTGAGCCTCTCTGACCAGGATACCCGCAGACCACTAGCCTTCCATTCAACTCCATTTCCTAAATCACACCTTATACAGCTGCCAAGTCAAAGCCTGGGACTGTGTTCTGAAATAGAAGAATGAAAAAAATGAATGGAATATTATTCTTGATGAGATTCGGGCAACATCTCTTCTAGGTTCTTTGATTGTTATTATTTCTTTTTCTTTTTTAAGGGATTCTTGCTATAGGGCATGTGAGCTCACCAGAGAGAGACAGAGAGATAGAAAGAGAGAAATAATCCCCCAGGGAAGATGGCCATGCCATCATCTCTTTCTCTCCATTCTCTTCTTGGGATCTTGGGCATGCATGCACACGTACCTGGTGTGAGTTTCAAGCCTCCAGGTCTGGGACTTGAACTGCGGTTAGTCATGTGGGAGTGAGTCCAGCAATATAACCACTGCACCATCTACTGGTGCCTCCCTGATATTAATTAATTAATTATTACTATTTTTATGGAGAGATTTTTACTATAAGGTATGTGTGCTCACTGAAGAGACAGAGACAGAAAGTGAAAAATCTCTCCTCAGTGGGGATGGCCATGCCGCAATCCCTTCTCCTTCACTCTCTTCTTGGGATCTTGGGCACACACGCACACATGCCTGGCATGAGTTTTAGGCCACTGGGTCCGAGACTCAAACCACGGTCGACTACATGTGAGTCCAGCAACATAGTCATTATGCATTTTGCTGGTTCTCCTAGTATTAATTTTGAAAAGTCCTTCTCTGTTGGAGACATATATTGGAGTATTTTGGGGCAAGATGTTGTGGTATAAAAAGATTGTTTGGTAATACTCTAGGTATTCATACAGTACTTATACAACTAAGAAACTGAAAAGCAAAAAGAATGAAAAGTCTGACTTGGATTCCAATTCTGACATCAAACTTTCCTATTTAACTGATCTCTGTTTTTAAATATTCTTACTTATTTCAAATATTCTTACGTACAGGAGAGACTTTTTGTTACTTAACCCATAATATATTTCTAACCCTTTCTCCCTTTATACTTTCACCATAGAGGCTACAAATGTTTGTTTCCAAGGACCAGCAGTTAGCGTAATGGTTATATCACTAGACATCTACATGGCCAACTGCGGTTCAAATCCCAGACCCAATGACTTGAAACTCATGCAGGGCATGTGTGCATACGTGCCCAAGATCCCGGGAGGAGACTAGAGGAGAAGGGATAGCGGCGTGGGCATACGCCCTTAGGGATGATTTCTTGCTTTCTGTCTTTCTCTCTCTCTCCCTCCCTCTCTCTCACACACATTCCAGCAAATGCACATGCCCTCTAGCAAAAAAAAAAAAAAAAAAAGGTTGTTTTTCAGACTGCCTTACAGTTAGAATTAGCCAGATAATATGGTTTTGACCAATGAGATATTGAGATGTAGGGAGAGAATGGCTAGGGTTTCCTCAGAAGACTTCTTGCTTTCCCAATAAAAATAAGGAAGATGTGATTGGTGCTCTTCCCCTTTTTTGGGTCTTCTCTGCCTTCAATGTGTGTGTGATAGCTGGAGCTGAAGCAGCTATCTTGCAACCACAAGGCAACAGCCATGAGGGGAAGGCCAAGGAAATGAGAGACACTGGCTCTCACATCATCAAGTGACTGAAGCTACTGGAGCAACCACCTGCCTGCAAACGTTTTGGTTATGTGAGACAAACAGCATTGATAACCCTCTCGTAGCTGCAGTGTCTGTGACTTAGCAGAAATATCCCAGTCATTTATACCGACAGATGGCAGATCATAACGTGACCTCCTTAATTTTTCCTCCTTAATTCAGGTTTAGGAAAGCTGTAATCATACATTTTGTTATGTACAAACTTCCAGTCCTAAGCCGGAATATGATATATGAATTTGTACTTTAAAGGCTGATTTACATGTATGTCCATGTTACGAAAATTTCATTCGAAAAGTGTTTAAAAATGGGGCCAGCGGCTGGCATGGAGGTTAAGGCGGCTGGATCTCACATGGCTAACTGCACAGTTTGAGTCCTGGACCAGGCAGCTTGAAAATCATGCTGGGTGAACTGTTTATGTGTTCTCAAAATCCCGAGGAGAGAATGGAGGAGAAGGGATGGCAGCTTGGCCATCCTCCTGGGGGCGGGAGGAGGTGATTTCTCGCTTTCCTTCTCTGTCTCTCTCCGGTGGGCATTCACTCTCACACACCGTATAGCAAAACTAACTAACTAAATCAAAACTTCTTGTACAAATATTTGCAGACGTTTTAGTTTAGGGTAAAGTCTTGGATTGCATACTCTTGTTTTTTCCCTAATTGAGCAAGACTTCAATTTGCGCTCGCTGTCTTTGTCCGTCTTGCCTCCCCCCTCTGCTATTCGTCACACGCCTGCCCCTTTGCAGCAGGTACACTGCAGGCAGCACTCCGGTGTCAGCTAACAGAAATGAGAAGCAGTTCATGGGCGAAATTTACTAAGAAAACATTTTATTTCACCCTAGTCATCTTGCTGTATTGTTGTCCAAGTCTTCAGCTGGCTCTTCCTAGGCCGCCCCATCCCTGTGTGTTTGTTCTTCAGCTGCTTTACTCTGCTCGTAGTTTGTCAATTTATCTATTAGGAAGAGACAGATCCTGTAGAAGAAAAAGTTTCAACTCTTAACAATATTATGTAATTGCATGCAGCTCGTTTAAAATTAGAATATTAAACTCAAATGATTACATACTTACTAGGAATACATATAAAATTTATGTGAGTTAAGAATATCCTTAAAATGACCACCTGTCACTTTTTTTCCTTAATTTGTTATAAGGTGTGTGTGCTCACCAGAGAGAGACAGAGAGAGAGTGACATAGCAGGGAAAATGAGAAATCTCCCTCCAGGGTAGATGTCCACACTGCAATCCCTTTTCTTCTATTCTCTTCTTGGGATTTTGGGCACGCACGCACATGTACTCTGGCGTGTTTTTCAAACCTCCTCGTCTGAGACTTGAACTGTGCAGTCAGCCATATGGGATTTAGCTGCCTTCACCACCACACCACCAACTGGTCCCCATCATCACTTTTGAAAAAATTGTTTACTTACTAAGTTAATTTAGGCAATATCACTGTCAACCATCCCTGGGACAGAGAAGCTGTGGACTCTACCAAATTTGCCTTCATATTATTTGGTTACAGAATTAGTTTCCAGAGGTCAGTAGGTGGTATGGTGGTTAAGGTGCTGGAACTCACATAGCTGACTCCATGGTTTGAGTTCCAGACCCAGCAGCCTGAAAATCACACTAGCACATGTGCATGAGTACCCAAAAATCCCGAGAGGAGAATGAAGGAGAGAGGATTGTGGCATGGCCGTCCCATCTGGGGGGTGATTTTTCACTTTCCCTCATTCTCTGCCTCTCTCTGGCAAGTGCACATGCCCTATAGTGAAAACCTAAGGGAAAAAGACTATAGTTTCACAAATAAATAAAGTTATAAATAGGAGATTCTTTCTTTCTTTCTTTCTTTCTTTCTTTCTTTCTTTCTTTCTTTCTTTCTTTCTTCTTTTTCTTTCTTTCTTCTTTTTCCTTCCTTCTTTCTCCTCTCTTTCTCTTTGTTTGTTTCTTTCTTAATTTTGCCAGAGGACATACACAAAGAGCAAAACAAAACAAAGCAAAACAAACAAAACCCAAAAAACAAAAACCCAGAGACAGACAGAGAGGAAGAGGGAGAACAAAACCCAAAAAACAAAAGCCCAGAGACAGACAGAGAGGAAGAGGGAGAAAGTATCCCCCTCCTCATAGGGTAGGGTCACACTACATTTCCGTCTTCTATTTCTCCATCCTGTGGGGACCTGAGGGACACATACGCATTTATGCCCAGAGCATCTTTCAAGCTGCTGGGGATGGCACTCGAACTTGGCATTCAGTCATGGGAGATTCAGCTCCCTTAGCCATCGGGCCAGGAGCTTGCCTAGAGGATTCATCTCTTCAAAAGCACACTAAAGTCTCTTTTACTAAGAATGCACATGAACGATGTTAGGAATAAAAGTAATAATTATTCTAACTGGGTCCGTATTGATATTAGTAATAGCACCAATAGGGTAAAATTATATTTCATGCTAATCAGTTCTGGTCTTATGAGAAAGGCAATTCTTAGATTCAGAGAGGGTTCTGAGGACCTGTCACATAGACTGTCTTTCCCTGCTTCAGCTGTTCCACTCCATCAACTCGGCAAGGAGCCCCACACAGAAAATGTCCATGGAACCTGAGAGCTATATAGCATATTTTAAACAGTGCATAAAAAACATGTTCGAGGGACCAGCGGTTAACGTAATGGCTATGTCGCTGGACTCCCATGTAGTCAACCACGATTCAAGTCCCGGACCTGGCAGCTTAAACTCATGCCGGGTGTGTGTGCGTGTGTGCCCAAGATCCCAAGAGGAGAATGGAGGAGAAGGGATTGTGGGGTGGCCATCCCCCTGGAGGGTGATTTCTTGCTTTCTGTCTCTCTGTCTCTCTCTGTCTTTCTGGCAAGCACACGCACCCTATAGTGAAAAATCTCTCCAAAAAAAAGAGAAAAAAAGAAAACAAACATGTTCGATATATTTGATTTTCTTTCATTTAAAAAAATGTTTAGAGTCAGAGGGTACATGCATGTGTGTGCAAAAGAGAGAGAGACTAGAACCCCCTCCCCCCATGGGGCCTGGTCACACTGCAGTCTTTTTCCCCCAGTGCTCCATCCCATCAGGACCCCTGGAGACCCACGTCCTGGTTGGCAGGTAGGATCTGCTGCTCCGACCTGCCAGTCCTTACCATTGTTCGGAAACACGGTGTAAGTGCTTTCCATTCCCGCCTCGATGTGTTCACCGACATGGCAATGAAACAACCATGTTCCAACAGCTCTTGGGTACATCTTTACAACGGCAAAGGTTCCCGGTGGAAGATCATAAACATCAGATCGATACTTTCCCATATCCTTAACAGAGAGATGAAACACTATTAATAGCTTATAAAAAGTATCAGCAATGCACAAAACTTGCCATTTACTGTTAATGCCCCAATTCTAATATACCTTATTAGATGACACTTGGGAAGTATTAGGTATATTGCAAAGATTCAGTCATTGAGGCTCCTTTTTCTTTTTTTCTTTTTCCCTCCCCTGAGTACAATAGAAAGTTTAGAGAAGGAAGAAGAAAATCTCAGAATATTCTAGTGTTAGGTCACAAAGAAAATGCTTCCCTCTCTGAGATTGCCTATGGTCAGTATAAGTGTTAGATACCTAGCCAGCATCTCATACAGCAGAGTACCCTAGACTTCAGAGAACAGATAGTTTCACAAATTCTAAAGGTTCTAACTGAACTATTTCTAACTAGGAGTATTGGTGATGTGATGGTTGCTCATTCCTCAAGGTGCAACTAATCAAGAAGACTCTTGGTTATAGGAAAAGAAAGCAGGAGAGGAAAGAAAGGAGGAGGGAGGAGGAGCTCCTTCAGCACCTGCAACCACATCGGCCCTGTTAGGGTAGGAGCTGAGGGCTCAGAGCATTTAATAGCTCATTTCTCTCCTAAGAAAACCCAGTGTTAGGAAACTATGTACCTGGACTACTTTGAGCTTGAGAGATGGCGCCTCAGGCCTTGGTCCAGATGGACGAAGAAAAGAATAAGAGGAGATGAATTGCTCTGGCCGGGAGGGGTGGCTGGGGTGGTAGGTTGAGGGTTGTAGGGTATGATGGAGAATAACCGGAGCAGAGAAGAGCGTTCAGAAAGTCTAGAGAAGGATGTGGAGAAGGAGACAGTAGCTTTCTAGAACAGGCTGTGACTGGTTGACTTATCCCAGGACCAGGTCAGGAACTCCAGAGAATGACTCTGCTCTCCCAGGAGGGGCAGGGGTGAAGCCCAGTGGCTGTGTCAAGGATGGAGGAAGATGGAGGCACCTCACAGTGGAGAGAGTAGATGACCTAACCTGAAATGGGTTATAGTGGCTGCGGCTGGGAACTGGTGTCACTCGACCCTGCAGTTTAAGTGGGATCGTCCTTCAGGGATGCAGTTTTCCTTTTCTTTCTCTCTATCTTCCTTTTATCCTTTCTTCCCTTCCTTCCTTCCTTCCTTTCTATTCTTTTCTTTCTTTCTTTCTTTCTTCTTTCCCTTCCCTTCCCTTCCTTTTCCTTCCCTTTCCTTTTTCTTTCCTTCTTTTTTTCTCTTCTTTCTTTCTTTCTTTCTTTCTTTCTTTCTTTCTTTCTTTCTCTCCCTCTCTTTTCTTTTTTTCTTTTTCTTTTTTTTTGTTTTTGCTATAGGGTGCATGTGCTCACCAGTCACTAAAGAGAGATAGAGAGAGAAGGAGAGGAGAAAGCAACCCCCATTGGTAACGGTCACATTGCAATTCCTTATCCTCCATTTCTCTTTCCTTTCAGGATTTTGGGTGCTTGTACGCACACATGCCTGGTGTGTCCCAAGCTCCTCAGTGTGGGACTCAAATCACGAAGTCACCTATGTGAGAGCCAGCTGCTTTAACCACCAGGCTACAGAGCTAGCCCTGGAGACAGTTTTGTGAAGCAGTTAAGAACTCTGGAAAGAGAGCCAAGGTTCCAATCCAACGTTTAACACTACTGGTTTATAGAAAGTTCTATCCTGGTCACCCTCCATTTCACCATTTCATTCCCCAGCAACAGCTCCTGAAAGGCAAGACAAGTCTTTTTTTTTTTTAATGAGATTTTTGCCTTAGGTCGCATATGCTTGCTGGGGGTGGGGGGTAGGGGGTGAGGAGGGTGAGGAGACAGAGACAGTGAGAGGGAAAGTGAGAAATCACCTCCCAGGGAGGATGGCCATGCCACAATCCTTTCTCCATTCTTCTCCTAGGATCTTGGGCATGCACACTCCTGTGTCTGGTGTGAGTTTCAAGCCACCAGTTTCAGGACTCCAGATTATGGTAGCTATGTGGGACTCCAGAGACATAACTCCTATGCCATCTGCTGACCCCGAAAAGTAAGGCTTTGATTCCTTTTGACTCCACACAACTCTTAGCATGGGACTATGCATATGAAGAATCTTCAAAAAGCTTATGGAAAATGCTTATTATGAAAAAATATGCATTACTTTCAAATTTTTTTTTACCAAAATAAATTTTTACTTTAATTCTACTTTCCATGAACTTTTTGAAGTTCTTTCATATGAGAAGTATTTGCTGAACTAAACTATCTATAATATTTGACAACATCCAAAATGCTGTAAAACGCTGTAAGTAAATTTCAAATCTCTTTTGTCACAATTTTAAATGTATTTCATATAAGCAATTATGAATTTAGTAATTACCCTACTATCTAGGCTTTTGCTTCAAAATATGGGAAATACAGACCATAGTGTAGTGGGGTCACAGAGGTTGGAGCTGGGTAATGAATAATAGAAGTTAGTTATATTATTCTATTATATCAATTTCCCATAATGAAAACAGTTTTTATGCCAAAAAATAAAGTTTAAGAGGAACAACTTTGTTCACTAAAAGACCGGAAAGAAAGCAGCTCTCTAATAAGGCTTTGTGCAAACCAAGTCCTGCATGACCACTTAATTTATTTCCACAATAGACACTGTGCACTAACTATACATAATCCAGCTAGAATTCAGGAGAACTTTGTGTGAAATTTCATCAATGTAGAAAAGAATGAATTATACTAATGCCAAGTGGTTGGATTATGTCTGAGGTGTCAAATGCAAAGAATAGGCCCTAAATTATACACTAATTTTTACAATATACAAGGGATTAGGATGAAGAAATAAAGAATATGCTTCTCAAGTAAATAAATGACACTAACTCGGAGACTGAAAGTGGAACGATAAAATATAAAATACTGGGCCAGCAGGTGGTATGGAGGCACTGAACTCCCACATGGTCAACCATACTTTGACTTTTGGACTCAGCAGCTTGAAAATCACACGAGGTGCGTGTGTGTGCATGTCCCAAGTCCCAAGAATGGAGAAAGAATTGCAGCATGGCCATCTCCTCTGCAGTGTAATTTTGCACTTTCCGTCTCTCTGTCTCTCTCTGGAGAGCACACATGGCCTACAGCAAAAACCTTAAAAAATAATTAAAAATACTTCAAATGAATTAGAGAAATGATAAGTCAAAGTCATTAATAAAACAAATGTAAGGCTGTATGACTGCTGGGATGAGAAGACATTCAGACAAGATATAAAGAGACTGACTAAAAACAGATCAAGTAGGAAAAAAGATAGCAATAATAATAAAAATAAAAAGCACTGCAAAGACCACATCATAATATCTAGGAAAAAAAGATAGCAATAATAATAATAGTAAAAAGCACTGCAAAGACCACATCATAATATAAATATTGAAGGAATGATAGAATTAGAAAGTCATCATTTTGTAACACCCATTATAAAAATTGATTCTAGCAAGCATCATCAATGGATGCTTTTTTGGTTTGGGGAGATATTTTTGCTATAGCGTCCATGTGCTCGCCACAGAGACAGAGAGAAACATTAAGACAGAAAGTGAGAAATCAACCCCAAGGGGGGATGACTATACCACAATGCCTTCTCCTCCATTTCACTCTTGGGATTTTGGGCAGGCATGTACACACATGCCCTGTGAGAGTTTTAAGCTACTGGGTTCAGGACTTGAACCACGGTTGACTACATGGGAGTCCAGCGACATAATCATTATGCCATCTGCTGGTCCCAACATATGCTTTTAAAACCAAAATATACAAAATCATTGGAGTATGAAATATGTTTAAAGAAGTATTTTGCAGATCATTATTATTTGCAAGAGAAAGACAATACTTGAAAATGGAGAGGAATGGTATATGTCACCTCAATCGAGTTATCTAACTCAATATCACCCATATTAAAACCCATTCTTATTATGTACCCTTCAATGGATGCATGGAAGGTACAAAACTGCACCTGTGTAGTGTCCTGTCCAAATTTGTTTGACATGGACCCAATAATGAGGAAACTCTCAGATCAATGAAGAAACTATTTGTAGGATGCACATGCTTTAGTATTGAAGGATAAAGGGTTGTGATGTTTACAATTTACTTTTAGCTGGGTTCAGAAAAAATACATAGGAGGATAGGACCAGCAGATGACGTAATGGTTATGTCGTTGGACTCACACAGAGTTGACTACGGTTTGAGTCCTGGACCTGGCAGCTTCAAACTCATGCTGGGCATGTGTGCGTGTGTGCCCTCCCAAAATCTCAAGAGGAGAATGGAGGAGAAAGAATTGGGGCACAGCCATCCCCGTCCCCCCGGGGGTGTGTGATTTTTTGTTTTCTGTCTGTCTCTCTCTGTCTCTCTGGTGAGCACATGTGCCCTATAGCAAAAATCTCTCTAAAAAAAAAATCAAATAAAAACAAAAATATAAGAGGGAAAGTGAATGTGGCAGAATGCACATGAGTTTCTGGGGTGTTTTCCTTTTTGTTACTGAGCACTTGACAATTTTCAAAAAATGTAAGTTGGGATAGAAAGGATGAGACTAAAGATGTCATGAAAGTTTCGTTTGCCTATTGAATAATATCAGATTAAAGTGAGAAATAAACATGCTTCCTTCTCTGCCAGCATTCAGCAAATGTCCCTTGGAGATGAAGAACTAAATGTACAATTACGTACGTGTGCCACGAGTATTGCGGATCTTAGGAACTGGAAGCTCTGGTTCCCCTTCCAGTTACCCCGCTGTGCGACACCAACAGCCAGCTCACAAGGCACCCGGGCATGGAGCTGTGGAGGGCGCTTACCGTGTATGTGTAGCTGTGGCCATGGAAATGAACCGTGTGCAGATCGAATTCACTCCCCACACCCATCAGGTACCAGTTCACTTCATCCCCAACGTGGGCTGTCAGACCTTGGTTCGTTCCAAACATTCTCCCATTAATTGCTGTGGAGAGACGGGGGACAGGGAAATACAGTGTTTTACATTCAACGAGGATTTTAAATAATGTGGGTCTTTTCCTAACACCTTGTAGAAAGTATCAAGGATGTTTTCAGGGGCGGTGAGGATTTTATAATCAATCTGAGGAAGCTGCTACACATGACCAAGTCACCCAGTCATCCATTCAAAGAGGCTTCTAATTCTAGAGTGTTTCTTGCCTGGGGAAATAAAGAACGAGTGTTGTGTTGCTGTAATTGGGCTGGACTTGAATATTTCACAACTAAGGACACCTAAATTGATGCAGATGTCAATGTGTCGATTAATTTGAAGTATATTTAAAATGATCACGAGAGGCTTAGAATAGCAGGCATGTGTCCCACTTAACTGCCCTAGGTGATGGCTGTGCCTAGGGTCCAGGTCCCCTCTTTAATTCTCTCCAATAGGAACAAAATATGAGCATTTAAGTCATATATGAATATACATATACACACACATATATACACACAAACATGTCTTCTTTTTTATTTTTCTACTTTGTGAACATCTTTAAAAATGTATGCAGTGCAGGGTATATCTCTACACCTATATAACGTCATATCCGTGGAGGTCGGCTCTAATACTTGTAGCTGATAGAGGATGTTATAGGAAAAACTAGAGACACTGCTGCAGACCAGTGCTTCTCAGACCTTATTGTGCATATGGCCTGGGGTTCTTGTTAAAAATGCAGATTCTGGGGACCAGCAGTTGGTGTAATGACTATGTTGCTGGTCTCCCATGTGGTTGACCGTGGTTTGAGTCCTGGACCTGGTGGCTTAAACTCATGCCAAGTGTGTGTGCATGTGTGCCCATGATCTTGAGAGGAGAATGGAAGAGAAGGGATTGTAGCATGGCCATCCCCCCAGGGGGTGATCTCTCGCTTTCTATTTGTCTGTCCCTCTCTGTTTTTCTGATGAGCGTACACACCCTATAGCAAAAACTCTCGCTTTCTATTTGTCTGTCCCTCTTAGCGTACACACCCTATAGCAAAAACCTCTCAAAAACAAAAACAAAAACAAACAAAATGCAGTCTCTGATTTAATAGGTCTGTGGAACCCAAAATGCTGCATTTCCCATAAACTCCAAAGGGATACTAAGCCGCTGGTCCACTGACCACACCTGGAGTACCAGCACCTACATGCCTGCCATAACTGGGGCTAAAATCACACAGCTACCCCTGCAGTGCCCTGCATCGGTGTAACTGACACTGTTAGCATAGAGTTCTTCACAGGAGGTGATTTTTGTGCCCCAGGGGACATTTGGCAATGCAGGGCAACATTTGCACTTGTCATAACTTGAGGAGAGGTGCTACTGGGTTCTTAGAAAAGTCACCATGTATTTTTTTCTGTTTTTCTACACAAAAATGCATCATAACCTCTTAGACAACTTGAGATTAACAGTAGGTAGAGGATATGGATGGTGCTAAACATCTACAATGCAAGGGAGCGCTCCCTACAGCAAAGAGGGATCTCACCCCAAATGTCAGTAATGCCATGACTGGGAAACCCTGGTTTTTACCAAGTCTAAATTCCTAATGAGGTATTTAAGGTCTTCCCCAATGCTGTTGGCCCTTTCTTCCCAAGTGCTGTGTGACTTAGCTCATATTCTTCCTCCTGTCTTGGTTGTTATTCTCCTCCTTTTCTGAATAGACGTCTGTGTAACTTTGTATACTTAACTCAGATGCCTCTCTCGTCATGAAACCTTTCTCACCTTCTAAATGAGAACAGCACTGTGTCTACATGGTCTTTCAGCCAGAGCTTCTACATCTGCTTTGGGTGATAGCAATCTCAAGTCTGACCCCTGCTAGACTGAACAACTTGAAGAAAGATGCCCTTTTATGGGCTTTTGGGTCTCTTCACTGTTTAATAAGGTGTTTGGTGCCCTCTATGATTATTTTTTTAAAAATTTTTAATTGCCAGAGGATGCATGAGTTTACCAGACAGAGTCGGAAACAGAGAGGGAGAAGGGGGAAGCATTCTTCATGGGGCACGGTCATGAGCAATTCCTTCTCCATTTTTCCTTCCTATAGGATTTTAGACATGCACACACCTGCATCTGGTGTTTCTCAAGCCACCAGGGCCAGGACTCAAATTTCCACTGGGCACATTAGATCCAGCTTCCCTTAACCACCAGATCACAGGTCTGGTCTGTTCCATGATTCTTATTAAAAGACTACTGGTGGGTTGGCAGGTGGTCTGGTGGTTAAGGCTGAATCCCACATAGCTGACTGCACAGTCTGAGTCCCAGACCTGGCAGCTTGAAAAACACGCTGGGCATGTATGCCCAAAATCCTGAGGGGAGAATGAAAAAGAAGGTATTGTGATATGGCCATTGCCATAGAGGGGGAGAATTCTCATTTTTGCTCTTTCTCATTTTCCCTCTCTCTGTCTCTCCAGCAAGTGCATGTGCTCTATAGTAAAAAAAAAATAAATAAATAAAAGAGAAAGAAAGAAAAAAAGAAAAGAAAGAAAAGAAACTATTGGTAGAATAGATGTAACCTTTGAATTAAGTTTAAATGTACATGTTTCTAACCCTAAGAAGTTGAAACTTACCATATTTGGAATTGCCTTAGTTAAGGATGTACCCAGTTCATACCCCTTAGCTTCCTCAGCTGAGTGACTTGGGACCAGAAGTTTCACTGGTTAAAAATTGTGATTAAGGGGGCCAGCAGGTGGCAGGTGATTAAGGTGCTGAACTCCCAAATGGCTGTCAGTGGTTTAAGTCTCAGATCTAGTGGCTTAAAAATCACACAGGGTGTGTGTGCCCAAAATCCTGAGAGGAAAATGGAGGAGAAAGGATTGTGATGTGGCCATCCCTCCTGGGGGGTTGATTTCTCACTTTCCTTCTCTATGTCTCCCTCTCTCTGCAGTGAGAAAATCCTATGGTAAAAAAAAGGGGAATAAGTGAGAGTGTTATGGTGTGCTTTTAGTTTGAATAACTGGCTTACTAACTGATTCTCCATGAGGGGAGGAGAATGCTATGCCCAGTCACAACCAACCTGAAAAAGTTTAACTGATGAGTATGGAGTTTTCAAAAGTTCTGCCTGAGAGGGCTTTAGTGTTGGTGATAGAGAAGAGCAGTGGGATTGTCTGGTTTGCTTCAAGCCCCACCTCTCCCTGTGCTCATCCATGTAATATTCTTCAGACGAAGCGTCAGGCCCTCCACAGGGCTCTGAAAGCTTGGACTCGGCTAAGCCGCTAGTTCAGTTTCTATAGCCTCCGGGCCAGAACTAACCCATTGCCTATGTTCCTATACCCCATAAGCTAAGAACAGTTTTTAAAGAGGTTTTCTTTTTGGTTTTGTTTTGTTTTCTTAAATTTGCTACAGGGCATATGATCTCATGGGAGAAAGGGGAGGGGGAGAGTGGCCACACTGCAATCCCTTCTCTTCCTTTCTCCTCTCTGAGTTTTGGACCTACAAGCACATGTGGCCAGCATGTTTTCAAGCCGCCCACAAGCACATGTGGCCAGCATGTTTTCAAGCCACTGGGTCTAGGACTCAACTGAGCAGTCGGCCATATGGGATTCAGTGGCCTCAACCACCACACCACTGACTGGTCCAGCTTTTACAATTTTAAACAGTTGAAATAAAAGTTTAAAAGAATATTATTTCTTGACATGTGAAAATTACATGAAAAATACATTCGGTGTCCAGACATGAAGTATTTTTCATGTAATTTCATGTTTTTACATCGTCTTTGACCGCTTTTATCTTAGGTGACAGGAGAGTATAGCTTATGACAGAGATCATGTGACCTAGAAATTTTAATTCTTTGTTATCTGGCTTTTTGCAGAAAAATATGTTGACCCATAGGCTATATAACCAATACCCCAGTTCTATATGATCATATTCTCTAAACTGAACTGAGCTTGGCAAACATGAACCTCTGTTTGGTGGTGGTGGGGAGGAACGACCCATGGGCAGCAGTTGGGGAGTCCGGAGGGGAACGTTACCGTGCATCTGATTGCTGAGTTGAAACGTTTCATCATCCCTGTCTACCTTGTTTGGCTCTAGAGAATAGGTTGCGATATTGTCTTCAAAGTACCAAGATCTGTTCTCATCAAAAATCATGAAGAGGAGAACACGGTGAACAATCTGGTTCACGTTTACATTTTCACGACAGACGATCAGAGGGCCTACCAGACCGCTGTTCGTATCCTGAAGAAGCAAAGCAAAGTCAACTGTCTGTGTCCACAACTAAAAAGTTCCCCCAAGCAATAAGAGGAGTAGAATCAAGTTTTAGCGAAGTCAGATTCCAGATTTTTAATTAGGATTCTAAGTTACAGAGTGAGGGCTGACATGTTTAACATGCTCAGTCCTTGATTGGAGAAAAACTGTAGACTTACTCTTTGAAGCTGAAATCTGAAATGAACAAATGCACTTCTGTTTTAGGCATCTGTGCTCTATTTTTGAAATTTTAATTAAAAAACAGAACTTTGGTTTTAATTAAAATTCCCTGGCATTTGAGTTGGTTGGCAGGAAAGTCTAAAGGTCTAAGTCTCTTTGCTGCTATGCTTTTGTCCCTATGGCAGAGTTCTGGGAGCCTGGGTTTGTTTACCTTTGTTTTGTTTTTAGGTTAAATCTCTGTAGATTTTTGTTCCAGACAAGGAATGAGCCAAGATAAGTAAGAGTTCAAAGACAGAACTTGTGCCAGCTCTTTTTTCCCTTGACTGTAAATAAACTGCACTGTAGAATTGAAGGTTTTAAAATATGTGAATAATAGTTTTTATTAATCATAAAAATTTTTAAATTCTTTCATTTGTTTTTTGTAACCCATTATACTGAATAGAATAAATTATAAAATATTATTATATAATTAGATATATTTTTCCAACTCAGAGTGACATTTTGAAAAAAGTATAAATCTAGTCATATTATAATAATTTATTTTGCTCTTGAAAAATGCAAACCCATGTAGGCTTAAAAGCTGAGCAGTATTGGGACCAGCAGTTAGCATAATGGCTATGTCGCTGAACTCCCATGTAGCCGACCTTGGTTCGAGTCCTGGACCTGGTGGCTTAAACCCACGCTGGGCACATGTGCATGCATGCCTAAGATCCCAAGAGGAAAATGGATGAGAAGGGATTGTGGCGTGGCCATCTCCTCGGTGGGGTGATTTCTCGCTTTCTATCTCTCTGTCTCTCTCTGTCTTTCTGGGGAGTGCACATGCCCTATAGCAAAAACTTCTCCCCCCCGCCAAAAAAAAAGCTGAGTAGTATTTAGGTTCCTTAATAGAAAGCTTATATGGTGCTGAGACTTTTAAAAAATTACATACTTTATTTGTTATTAATAATTGTCATTATTATTAATTTGACCAGACAGAGAGAAAAGGAAAGTGAAGAATTAAGTTGCCTGGTCTTGGGCTCAAACTGTAGTCAGCCATGTGGGAGTCTAGCACCTTAGTCACCATGCCACCTGCTGGCCCCAATGTTAAGATTAAAATAATAATAATAATAAAATAAAAGTCCTTCTTCCTCCCTTTATAATTATAGGAGGAGATAGAATAAAAATTGTGATTTGATTTAAAGTTTACCTTTATCACATTCACGGTTGAATAGTAAAGCCACGGTATACACTCGAAGTCATTTGAGGTAGGACCAGTTCTTTCAGGGATCTTCCAAGTATACGTTTGAATCTCACCTGCAATAGACAAAGTGCATTCAAACAGAGTCTTTTTAAAATCAGACTTCTTTATGGAGAATCGGGAAGCCAACACTAAAGCTATGAGAATATGACGCAGCACAGTCTTCGTCTTCTGGCTCTGCTTCTAGCTCTGTGATCTCAGTCAATGCATTCCCATTTTCTGAGCTTATATTTCCATATATATATATACACACACATACATACTTTAGACATTAGATGAGATGGAACACCCAAAGCCCTTCATATTACATGTCTTGGGCCACAGCGTGAAGTCAGTGTCATGATAAGCGTTGGCTCTGTGTTCCCGGAGTTACTGGATCAAAACCTTCTACTGATTTTTGCCATTGAAAAATGTCAGTCATTAAGTATCTAGTTTATTTGTTCAATAAATATTTATTGTAGTACCAATAACTTAGGCTCTGAAATGAGACAAAAACCTGAGTCCCAGCTCTGAACCTCCCCATATGCGCATCACCTGCACCTCCTCCCTGTACTCAAAACTTTAGCGATACCCATGGAATCTTTTTTTTTTTTTTGAGAGAGGTTTTTGCTATAGGAAGAGACAGAGAGATAGAAAGCAAAGAAATCACCCCCCAGGAGAGATGGCCATGCTGCAATGCTGTCTCCTCGATTATGCTCTTGGGATTTTCAACATGCACACACAGGCGCCCTGTGTGAGCTTGAAGCCACTGGATCCAGCACTTGTACTGCGGTCGACTATGTGGGAGTCCAGCAACGTAACCATTACTCTGCTGGTCCCAGCCCCATGGAATCATAATTCTATGTGCTTGCGGTAATGTTCTTCTGGCTTCCCTTCTCCATGGAATCCTACATCTTTTATTTTTGGAAACTCAAGTTAATTTCTCCAAGACCTCATGATATGGTTATCAACCTCAACCTCTTCCAAATCTTTTTTCTTTAGAGCTTTTTGCCTTAAGCCACCTGCACTTGACAGAGAGAGAGACAGAGACAGTGAGAGGGAGAGTGAGAGGTCACCGCCCCCACCCCGCTAGGGGGATGGCCACACTGCAATCCCTTCTCCTCCATTCTCCTGGAATCTTAAGCACACACGCACACATGCCTGGCGTGAGTCTTAAGCCATCAGGTCCGGGAATTGAACTGCAGTCAATCCTGTGGTACTCTAGCGATGTAACTGCTCTGCCCTCTGCTGGCCCCCCACTTCCAAATCTTTAAGAATTACTTCATCCAGACCCTCACCCTCCAGCACACCGCTGCATCTGCCACACAGCAGGTGCTCAGCAGTGTTGGGGAATGCATGTAACACCATCCTTTCCTGAGTAATCAGAACAGAGACCACTAACTTACAAACTCCCTTGAGAGCAGATTCACGTCAGTTCCACCATAAGACTGCTGTTTTGGGTGTGGTGGTTGAGGGTGTTGGACTCCCACATGGCTGACAGCAGTCTGGGCTCCAGAGCTCCCCCTGCCACCTCCCATCCCCCACCCCTTGCTGCCCCCGTCCCTTTCTGGACAAATTAAAAATAAATAAAGTTTAATAAAATAATTCTTCTTTTAAAAAAAGATGGCTGCTTTAAAAATATACAGGGAATATTCCACCCACCACCAACGATCTGTCTTCAGTCCCTAAGCTTCACAAATCTGTCCTTCCTGAATATCCAGGACTAATGGTTTCCATGGGCAATTCGGATGGACATTCTGGGACCCTTTTAAAATTTCTTCTTTAAGAGTGAAGTTCTTGTTGCTTCAGCAGGTATCAGCCTCCTTTGGGACAGCCATGCCCAACCCTGCACCTAATGACAAATGCAGGCCGAGCTCTCTGACCCAAGCTCAGGGAAGCTGAGGGTAACCTTCTTGTAATGTTGGCTGTGACTTGGAGCTGCATCTACTCCACTTGCCTCCTGCTCAATCCTACTTCTTTCTCTTTGCATTGATCCCAAGAGTGCTACCTATATGTGACTTCATTATGAGTCTTTTTTGTTTGTTTCTTTACTATAGGGTGCATACACTCAACAGAGAGGGACAGGGGGAGGGGGAAGTGAGAAATCACTCTTCAGGGAACACGGCTATGCCATCATCCCTTCTCCTCCATTCTCCTTTTGGGATTTTGGGCATGCATGCACAAGCACCCGGCATGATTTTTAAGCCTCTGGGTCGGGGAACAGAACCACATGGTG